TCTTGCCGATAATCTGATAGTAACCTACCACAACGGCTTCTCTTGCAGAAATGTTGCAGCAGCTAACACTTGTAGCCCTTTTACTGGGTATATACGGGGTGTTAGCGCATGCCGTTGACGGTAAAGAATCAACCAAAGTAGACGACGAGGCATATGGATATTGTCCTCCAGGATACTGGTGCAAGAAAAAGCGGGAGTTTGACAGTGCTGAATGCCCACGGGGATTTTTGTGCCGGTCAAAAAGAAGCTACGGGGGATACGCATGCCCCCCAGGTATTTGGTGCCGGAGACTTGAACTAGTAGTAGATCGCGACACCAATCCAAAAGACTGCGGAGAGGGGTTAGTAGCAGTTATCCAGTAAATAGTGTAACATGGGAAGAGTAAATCGCGCGTTCTAATTGGTCAATTACGTATTTACTATTTACCCTTGGGTGAATACTGACGAAAGCTGGCGCACGCTTAAGGCCGTGCGCGTGACCTATTGGGCGATCATATTTTGCTTTTTCCTCAACGTTTTTGCGTGACATCCAAAAAACGGCTGCGAGGGAGACTACTAAGTTTTAAGAAATAAGAAAAATAGGACGGAAATTTCAAAATCTGCGTTGTTTTTGTTTCGTAGTCAATGGTGCAGGATAAGAAAAACGATGATAAGTGAACCTCGTTCTATGGGTTGTCCCCCTGGTTACTGGTGCAGGAAGAAGAGATTAACCGATATCCTGTCGGAAAGAAATTGCCCTAGTGATTTCCACTGCGATGGCAAGAAAGAAGCTGATGCGGGCTGCCCCCCAGGGTACTGGTGTAAAAAGAAGAGGGATATGATAGAAACACCGACAAAGAAAAGTGAATGCCGCAGGGGGATGTGGTGCAAGAAACAACTCCCATCTTAACCTCCTCTACTTTTAATATGTCACTAGAGATCTCAGGAATGAGAACCGCTTATTAATTACTGTGAAGGTTAAATTGCGTATTTGATAGTCCAATTCTTTCAAATATATTCTTTGGAGGTCTTTTCTGAGTACAATTAATTGTATTCGTGGTTTGTCTGTAAATAAAGTGAGTTCTCGAATTGGTCGTGCTAATTATTGTTTAATCTAATTGCCGGTCTACTTATAATCGGTAGAGCCTAGTTGTTTGTATCCACTTTGTTATTTTGTGTAGATGATTCTATTAAAATAAACAACAGTAAGACCTTTTTCTTTCAGAAAACAACAGTTCATACAGTAAGTAAACAACTCTTGGCTATTTCAGTAGAATTATCCCCAATAGCGCGCGCATCCGTTAGCTGCTTCAAAAACAAGAAAAAAAAGCAACACACTAATGAAACATAAAGGTGAAGAAGACAATATTTTTCTGTAAATGAAAAAATTTTCTCTGATGAGGTGGTTTATTGTTTGACTGCAGATCCCTTGCCTACGTATGCATGCATGAATGGGGGAGGGGGAGGACAAATGAGGTTTCATCAGTTGAAAAACCACTAAAGGAAACGAAATCGATCGTTTAAAAGATCGTTCAACATCCACTATTGGATCCTGTCAATCAATAATTAAAACAAATTAGGTAAACTCCTCATGCCCTCCTTTGTGGGAGACAATGACTTAAGTTTAAATACTTCCTTCAAAAATTCCTTATTTTTTGGCCCAGTAAATTTATTGCCTGGTTTGCTTGTTTTCGTCCTATTTTAAGGAAAAAGTCGGCCCTTGTACATGCGATGCGATTCGTAGCCGAGAGAATAATATAAGCTGCTTCGGGTTTGTCGATGTGTTGAACAAATCACTCATTGAAAATATAGTTGGTCCAGTAAATAGCATCACTTTAATCATCAATTTCTGCAATAGTGAACATTTCTAACAAGCTGATGGACATAAGGAAACTACATAATGTAATTACACATTAAGAACGATCGTTAATTTTCTTTCCTTCTCCCCAATCAATATTCAGCTTATCTGGTTCTTTTTGCTTTTAACTATATTCCTTGTTTTTGTAAATATGAAGAAACGAGAAAAATTTTCTAAGACGCTTAATGCCATCTTCCTTCCAGAGAAGAAGGAAACAGCTCTCATTTGATAAGGGCATCTCCACTTCAACAAGCTTTCGCGGATAAGACAGAATAACATCACGGAAGCTCAAAACCAAAACCAAACAGGTCGCTACTCAGTGAATCGTTGCCTGGTACAGTTGGAAAACTTGTTGGAGAGTTGAGCAAATGATGCCTTGGATGTTTTGAGTGATATCCGCTATCCAGCCATTACCATCATGAGAACCTTTTGTTATTTTTTTAATTTTTTATTCTCGAAGCTCAGCGGATATGCAAGCTATGAGCAGTTTACAACACGTTCTTAACATAGACCACAACAGATTAAGGATTTTCAGTTGATATTAGCTACAGAAAGTAATATATTAATATTAAATGAATAGGCTTAATCCTATCTTTTTCTATGTGTCTTGTGCCCAGATCAAATGTCGAAAGTAGAACCCATATCATTGTATTTGAGACACGTACTAATAACTCAAATAAGACGTTGGAGCAAGCAATAAAGTGTTGTTATGCCGCATTTAAAATCATTAATTAAAAGCAAGGTTTAAATCCCAATTAGCGGAAGGCAGGCCAGTTATCTATTTACAAGCGTGGTACAGGATGCTACTTACTCCTCTTGGAACTGCTGTTGAACCACTCCAGAGGGTGGTCAGAGGGGAGGGGAAGATGGGGTGGTTTGGTATCGACGGCTAATGGTTAGAAACATTTATTTTTCGATGACTGACAGTAACATTTTAGTTTTTTCGATGGTCGACGATTAGACGCGCCACATTTCTTTAATGCCTCTCCGTTTATTTCTTACCTTTTGGTATCTTGCCAGCATTTTAGGAATGGACCACTTTTTTATAGAAACCGTAAGTGATTTAAAACAGTAGAAAATTTTCTCACTAATTGTAGCAAAAGAGCGAATGAACAATATGACAGGATATACCACAGTTCAGTGTCAAATGCTTAGTGTTTCATGGCTTAACTTAAACCCCTTCAGACCCTCTTCCGACTATCCGTCCACGCTGCCTCCATTAAAGTTCAAAACTTAGCGTAAACCTAAGTTTCTTTCTGTGCGTGATCGATATCTGACTAAACTTAAATTATTTACGTCTAGTTTTATGACCTTTTTCGGAACAAGTTTTAGTTTCCTAGCGAGAGCGGTTGAGACGGAGTTGGATTTTTGGTGATCCTATCCTCTGTATCTGTATCAGTGGTTTTCTCTTCACCAACGTGCTCCCTTTAATACGCCTTTGACTCATCTACCAAATCAAGATTTAGATATGTATTTCCCACCATCATCATCTTCTCCAGTATCTTCGTGGCCTGATCAAAGGTTGGCCGTTTATGTAGACTGCAAAACAGTCCGTATTTTTGCGTATTCAAGTACGCGCGAGCAGTCAAACAAAAGGTCTGGAATGAGGCTGAAAACAGAGAGCGAGACTGGGGAGAGACGCTTAAAATTTTTTTTTTCTCATACCTCACACGCCCTACGGGTGTGTGATGCAGCTCGCGCGCTTCGCGCGCGTAAGACTCTTACGCCATGCTTTACCGATTTCTTTACTGATTTTGAGAAAAAAACCGACTGTTTTGCAGTCTACCGTTTATGAGGATCTTCCCTCTGAACAGTCCAACACCAGCTGAAATTTAAGACAATGATCATAAGGGGGCCGTGCAGTACCTGCCAAGAGGTTCAAATTGGATAGACTCCTACTTGGGGCCTTCACTTTATATATTATTTTATTGGAAAGAGTGATCATGAGTGAATGCGTACAGTATGATACGCTTCCCATCTCAAATACGTTTTCATCTTTTTTATCAGCATTAATACAAAATTTGTAGCTTTATAGCTAATACATTCATCTTTGTGAGGAAATTTTCTTTTACCCTTCTTATCGGGTCCAGTGGGTTTGATGTCTATTAACCACGTTCATATCGACCGCCCCGTTTTCCTGGGTGAAGGGTTATCAGGTCGACCTATCCAGTGTCGAATTCCACAGTCACAGCGAGGGAGAGCGAAAACTGTACTTGTCGAGAGAATGATTTAAGTACAGCGTCCTTCCTTTTCAGATTTTTCATTCAACTTAGTCACATGTCATGTGATTTTCCCTTGGTTTACCGGAAGTTACATTAATATCCGGTCGTTTTGTGATGCTTAAAATGAAATTTGTTAAAATTCAGTTGTAATAACCAGACGTTTTAATAAAACAATTATTCCATTCGTGCGTATTAGATATGAGACAATTATAGCCAACTTTTGGAATAATTGTTAAATATCAATATCATGCAACAATAGGAGGTCACGTTCAAAGGTACTGAGAGCCATCCCCCACTAGTTATCAGTGCGAAAAAACAACATATTCATTTGATAAACTCTGTCTGTCTGAACCACTAACTAGTGTACTAAAGAGTACTGAACAAAGTCAAGGAGTGTTTTTCAAAATGTTAATGATTTGGTTGTCGCGATTTATACACTGAACAAACATTATTTTTACCTAGTAGGGAAGCTATTTGACGTGACTTCAACGAGCTAACTAAGGCTTCCTCTGTTTGTATAGTACTGACGTTTTCAGTTGAGATAATAAAAACATCATTCTGTTGCTATCAAATATGTGTTGGTATCTACATCGATTTAACACGTTATCTTGATGATTTTTCAGAGTCTTCCCTTAATACGGACGCCTGGCTGGTCCTTGCTAATAGCTGTCTCTTTACCGGAACGCTGGTTACGTGCGTTGGATCTTCACCGGCGAAAAATGTCTGCGCATGCTCTACTAAAAATGACACGTGATCTATTTCGGGTAATGTCATTAGCTCCGAGGCGAAAATGCCCGCGAAATGTTGTTCAGATGAAAGTAGCGATGGCAGCTTTTTTTGGAAGTGACAGCGTTGCAAGTTTCTTACCATTGTAAGAGATCAAAAATTTTTTTGGTCAAAGTTTTGACGTAAGTGTGTTCTCTAGAGAATACAGCGTCCTGAAACTGGCGAAAAATCGGATTGGCATGGTCTGATCCAGTGTTATTGACGTTGAGATCGCTGGTTTGCATGTGAAAGACATGCCGAAAAGGTGAGTAATTTTTGCTCTTTTTGTTTACTGCATGTTCCGTGCAACTCGGTACAAAAAGAAATTATAAAGTAGTGGAAGAAAAATTATTGGGCTTTCTTTTGGTATATAAATTAGCTTGTACCGAGTTGCACGGAAGCGACAGTTTTGTTAAATGTGCATCCCTTTTTTGTGTCAAAATTCGACTTTGATTGTGAATCTAACATTCGATAACGTTCGACTGTTGATCGAAGAGAATACTACAATGCTATCCAAAATGTTTTTGTTGTTTAGATCAAGTTTCTTCTCACGAATTCAACAAAAAAAAGTAGAGGGACAGACACATTTGGGCTTTGTTTTGTTAATATGACTTAGCTTGTACTTTGTTGCTGGAGAAACTATATTTAGATGCGTAATCTCCGCATATTTACACTGCGCTAAAAGCTGTTTATGGCAGAAAAATAAGGTCACGCTTGATTCAACTTAATCTCGTGTCACTCAGTACAAAGGGAAATTATAAAAAAGGTAAAGAATTACTCTTAGCCATTGTCTTGGTGCGTAAATTGTCTTGTAGCTAGTGGATCGAAAGCTAAAGTGCGTAGTTCGAAACGTGATTTTGTCCATCGATCCACATTTCATTGTTGTTGTACATTAGTACAGCTTTGTATGTTACAGAAATATGAATTTTATCCGAACTGTCGAATGAGAAAATGTGAGAGTGTTTTCATTAAAACGCTAATACCGTCTTGGAGCTACAGTTCGATAGGTCCAGCAACATTTGATTTGTAACAAATATTCTGTTTACAATGTGTACAGCTGTTGTA